AATATTAATATAATAGTTCCATTGCCAACAACAGCAGCATAAATAGTACGATTGCAAAAAAAGCGGAGGAAATGTTAATCGTTATGTCGCTATTAGTTATACTAGTTTACATACATCGGCAGAGTGCATATTACAACATCGCACTATGTTCAAGGTAGGATGAAGGTTGAGAACGGGGCAGCTCTAGTTGAGTGTGGTAATTTTATTTTAGAAAGCCGAAACCAGCCGGTGCTAATAAAAGTTTCCTTGCAGGCAGCGACCTCATCTAGGTTAATGCTAGATTTTCAACAAACTTCTGCTAATAATAGAAAAATTTTAGAAACTAATGCTAGATTTTCAACAAACTTCTGCTAATAATACAAAAATTTTAGAAACTCAGCCGTGAATTTTTTGAATTTCCCTAGATTTCGACACATTTTTCTTGGTTTTCCTCGATCAGATACCTATGCAACTAGGGGAAAATCCCCATGACCGACTCAACTTGAGGAGCGCCAAGATAGGGAATGCAGGGACCTTAGAACTTGTAGCCTCACCCCCTCGTATGGATTGACTTCCTGGAAATGCGTGAAATTATTTTTCTTCCCACATTTACTACTACCTCCAAGAGGATGTGGAAAAGTGGAGAGAACACGACCTCGAAATTTTTGTTATGTAGATAGACTATAAATTCGAAACTGTGGTAAAACGGGACCATAATTTATTAATGGCCGCTGTGCGTCCTTTTAATAATAAGATAGTGGCGTGTGAGCCACCAAGCAACTATTTTTTTTTAATTTCTGCCTAATGTCTCATTTGTCTGAATTGAATATTTTTTCGAAAGTAAAAAAAAGTAAGTTCACAACTTTTGCTTTTACGCTTTTTGTTTTTTGTCATTCCTAGTATTCCTCAAACAATATTCTCACCGTCCTTTACGGTCCAGTCACCGACATGTTCATCTTTCCTACGCTGTCCCTAAAAATCAAAGCTTCATAAAGGCTATAGTGCCCAAGCATACATCCGGGTTCGATATCTTCGTGATATTCATATGACACGCTCTGGCGAGTTTCCCCACATGAAGTACATTCTCATCATTTTTTACTAAATCTCGCTTTATAACTACGCGTTCTGCTTCGTCTCGAATAAAAAATTACAGCAGGTTCACGGAGGGAATGATGATGAGTGGGGCGAAACGTCCGTCCGTACATCTGTATGTATGTATGTATGCATGCATATGTATGTATGTATGTATGTATGTATGTATGTATGTATGTATGTATGTATGTATGTATGTATGTATGTATGTATGTATGTATGTATGTATGTATGTATGTATGTATGTATGTATGTATGTATGTATGTATGTATGTATGTATGTATGTATGTATGAACTGCGCCGGCTACGCCGGAGGGATGGAGAGAGAGGGGTAAATAGAGAGATAGAAAAGAATATGAGTAAAAATTAGGAGGGATGGACTGCCCATAAGGATTTTCGCCCTTAAGAAAGTGATTTCCTTGGAATTATTATAACAATTTCCCCTCAGAATGTTGTTGTTTTTTTCGTTAGCTACGCAGTCCGTTTTTTCAGCGCTGTTTTTCAATGAGTCATCTATATCTCTTTGACTTAGCTCTTTTTTTTTTTGCCATATCCCGTACACTACCGGTCGCGTACTTGCGGGTGAGCCTCTAGTATATACTTTTCCGCCATGCACTTCGTACGCAAATATCTTTCTGTGTGCTTACTTTGTTTCGTATTCCTTAACGTGCTGCCTTAGCAACCCAATATCGCTCTTAGCTTTTCTATTCTAAAATCCCGCCCAGTCTATGTCACCCCAGAAGTAAACACATAAATGACGATGCTATCATGCGTTTTTGTGGCCTGCATAGCTCCGTCCTCAATAAACAATCAAACAATCAGACTTCTTCTTCCGTATAGCGTTGTTTAATTCTTCCGGCTGTTCATTTTTGAGCAACGTCACGTTGCTACAGCACGACCTATAGAAACCGCGGTTCCTGAACAAAGAGACTATCAAGCAAATTGACTGGGAAGTAGTAATATGAATGACGGTTGACGGGGATGATTCCAGGAACTTGTGATTTGCAGACGATGTGACGCTCTTGAACTGCGATGGCGACGAATTTCACGATCCGAGTGAAGACATTTACCGCCAAAGTGCTAAAGTGGGGTCAAAATAGATATGCCAAAAACAAACGCAACGTTAGGTGGGCTGGTGAAATAACAACAGTTCGAATTTGGCAGCCAGACTGTGTATAGTATATGTATACAAAGTTATGTATATCCAGGTCAAGTGCCATGTATAGTAAAGTTAGCAAATCATTGCTGTCACCAAAGAGGAAAGTACGCAGCCGTTGCATTCCGTCAGTATTGAGAGATGGGCCATGAAGGAATGTAGCAAAACAACGACAAATCAAGTTAAGAGTCGCGCCGTAGAACATCAAGCGAAAGTAGTGTATCTGGACGAGCTACGTGATCCGCGGGACGTACAACTGGTGGTCAATTAAAGCAACGAAATCTGCCACGAGATATGGGGAAACGCAGTCGAGTACGGCAGACTAGTTGGATGTGGTGGCGGAATGAATGAATTTGCGGGTGCCGAAAGGCATCGGTTCTCGCACTATCATCGGGAGATTCCTTCGCGAGTGGCTCCAGGGCGGCGGGTACGGTCCCGTAGGCGCCCAAACTTGGTGTCGGCACCTGTATCAGCGAAGCGACACACGCTAATGGAGATGCCTATCTCACTTCCTCCTTTTGGGTCGTTTTCCCATCGCCCCGCGCTTAAACAGACCCGACCGACACCTGGGACTGTTTTCTGCTAATCTAGTCAAAGGGCCGCCGCTTCGCGTATACACCACGGGTAGGGGAGATCACACACGAGCTGATTAGTAACGCACTCCGGAGAAGGGCGGAAGCGTGAGCTCGACACGGCGCGGATGATAAATCAAAACGACTCCGCGACCCGTGCACACGCTGTCCCGCGCTGAAAGTCCGTGCGAACGATCATTCGTGGCGCCCTTTTGTCCGCTCTTTTGCGACAAGAGTGTGCAATACTGCGTGCCGTTCAGCGGTGTGCCTAGCACTACTCCATGAGGCGTTTCTTCCTTCTTCTTGTCAAGTGCTTGAATGCAGTCCCGCAAGTGGAGGGTTATTTGTTATTGTGTACGCTCGTATATTTGGGCAAAGTCGCCACGCTGCTTCCGTCTTGGTAACTGCTGCTACTACCGGCAGCCTGCCGCATGCAGGCGCTGTCGTCAGGCCTCTTTGTTATACGAATTTTTTATGAACGTTCAACTCGTCAATACATGCGATAATACGAACGTCAGACGATTAGACCTAGATGTCACGCCAACACCTTATTTTTAATGCGAAGCATTTCTGAGCAAACTTCGGCGAATTTGAATATATCTATCTATCTATCTATCTATCTATCTATCTATCTATCTATCTATCTATCTATCTATCTATCTATCTATCTATCTATCCGTCTGTCCGTCCGTCCGTCCGTCCGTCCGTCTGTCTGTCTGTCTGTCTGTCTGTCTGTCTGCCTGTCCGTCCGTCTGTCCGTCTATCTATCTATCTATCTATCTATCTATCTATCTATCTATCTATCTATCTATCTATCTATCTATCTATCTATCTATCTATCTATCTATCTATCTATCTATCTGTCTGTAAATCCGCCTACGACTTTTAGTGCTCCTTGCCATTTCGATGATGGGATCTATACCAAAATTGGTATGGCGTAACATGACTGTATGATGAACATAAGTGACTAGTCATAACATGAAAATGGCATCTATGTCATGAATTTTATGATTTACATATCATGGTCTTGCTGCTCTTGCGGTGGTTTCGTTCACATGTCGTATTGCAAAAGTGGCATGGTATGACATTAGTGCATGGCAAATATAAGTGACAGGCCCTGACGTGAAAATCTTGACATGCATGTCGCGTAAGTCATGACTACACGTCACACGCTCATGGTGCGCTCACGGTTATTTCGCTATAGCTTCACATATACCAAATTTGGTATTGTGTAACGCGAACGGACGATGAATGCAGATCACACGTCCTAACATGATAGTAATGACATGCGTGTCATGTTAAACATGACTACATGCTACGCTCCTAGTGCGCTCACGGCCGTTCCGCTAGCTTCACATAAGCCAAATTTGGTAGTACGTGACGCGAACGGACGACGAAAGTATATGACTGCTGCAAACACGATAATCATGACATGCGTGTCGTGTAACAACATGACTACATGCCACACTCATGATGCGCCCACGGCCGTTCCGCTAGCTTCACATGTACCAAATTTCGTATTATGTGAAGGGGTTGCACTACGAACACAAATGTCACGCGCAAATATGATAATCATGATATGGAAGTGATGTACCGCATAATTTACGTGCCTACCACTGCTGGTGCTGGTATTGCAAACATTAGTGGTGTCGTCGTTACGTGACAACAAAAAGTATAATTGCATCTTGTCTAGATGCCGAGGTGCGCATAACATTTCTTATTGTTTTTGCTGTGTACTACATCTGTGCGCCTCGTAACGTGTTGCCGATGTTAAAGTTATATATCAACCTTCCTCATTCGTGCTTCGCATATCATTGATTTTCACAGTATGTGGGATCTGCTCATTTTTTTTTCACTTTGCAATAAATCGGCTGATACTTCAAATCAAGCAATACGTCAGCGCGTTGACCTATTTTTCCCTCTTGATTTTCCGTGTGCGTGCGTGCGTGCGTGTGTGCGTGCGTGTGTGTGTGTGTGTGTGTGTGTGTGTGTGTGTGTGTGTGTGTGTGTGTTGCGTGTGTGTGCGTGTGTGTGCGTGCGTGTGTGCGCGCGTGGAAAATAAATAAAAGACGTCTAAGGTAACCCTAAGGCCTTCTACATGGTTATGGCGCTTGAATGCTGCCCCAAAAGTCGCGAGTTTGATCGCGGCCGTGGCGGTCGCACTTCGATGAAGGCGAAATGCTCGTGCACTTACATTTAGGCACACGTCAAAGAACCTCAGCTGGTGAAAATCTCTGGGCCCACTACTGCGGTGCGCATCACAGACGATGAATCGTCTCAGTGCGTAAAACCTCAGATATTATTATAATCATAATGTTCCCTGCCATAAAATAAAAAAAAATCACGTTCTCTACATTGAGATGAATGTAGATATATTTTCAGAGGCAGCGCCATAGCCAGAAAGTAAAACCTCAGATATTATTATAAACATAATGTTCCCTGCCATAAAATAAAAAAAAATTCACGTTCTCTACATTGAGATGAATGTAGATATATTTTCAGAGGCAGCGCCATAGCCAGAAAGTAAAACCTCAGATATTATTATAATCATAATGTTCCCTGCCATAAAATAAAAAAAAATTCACGTTCTCTACATTGAGATGAATGTAGATATATTTTCAGAGGCAGCGCCATAGCCAGAAAGTAAAACCTCAGATATTATTATAATCATAATGTTCCCTGCCATAAAATAAAAAAAAATTCACGTTCCCTACATTGAGATGAATGTAGATATATTTTCAGAGGCAGCGCCATAGCCAGAAAGTAAAACCTCAGATATTATTATAATCATAATGTTCCCTGCCATAAAATAAAAAAATTCACGTTCCCTACATTGAGATGAATGTAGATATATTTTCAGAGGCAGCGCCATAGCCAGAAAGTAAAACCTCAGATATTATTATAATCATAATGTTCCCTGCCATAAAATAAAAAAAATTCACGTTCTCTACATTGAGATGAATGTAGATATATTTTCAGAGGCAGCGCCATAGCCAGAAAGTAAAACCTCAGATATTATTATAAACATAATGTTCCCTGCCATAAAATAAAAAAAAATTCACACTCTCTACATTGAGATGAATGTAGATATATTTTCAGAGGCAGCGCCATAGCCAGAAAGTAAAACCTCAGATATTATTATAAACATAATGTTCCCTGCCATAAAATAAAAAAAATTCACGTTCTCTACATTGAGATGAATGTAGATATATTTTCAGAGGCAGCGCCATAGCCAGAAAGTAAAACCTCAGATATTATTATAATCATAATGTTCCCTGCCATAAAATAAAAAAAAATTCATGCCATAGCCAGAAAGTAAAACCTCAGATATTATTATAATCATAATGTTCCCTGCCATAAAATAAAAAAAAATTCACGTTCTCTTCATTGAGATGAATGTACATATATTTTCAGAGGCAGCGCCATAGCCAGAAAGTAAAACCTCAGATATTATTATAATCATAATGTTCCCTGCCATAAAATAAAAAAAAATTCACGTTCTCTACATTGAGATGAATGTAGATATATTTTCAGAGGCAGCGCCATAGCCAGAAAATATGCACTGAAGATGTGTCCACATTGCAGGCCACACCACGCTTAACTTGAGCAGTGTTGGGCGGTTTAACGACTTGGGTGGTCTCACGAGTTATCGGCAAGCTCTGTCCGCGGAAGGAAGGAAATCGTCGGCGTCGGTTTCCGTGAAAGACAAAGAAATCGGTCGCGTTGACCGATGCGAGCCGGACGTCCACCTTATGCGGACGGGCTCAACCGCTTATCTTCACACGGGTGACACGACGATCGTGAAATCGTTTCTGTTGATTCGACAGGAATGCGGGTTTCTTCAATATACGCGAAGTACACTGTTACAAATTAGAAACACCTTTTGTCGGGCAGTAGCGGAGGCATAATGAATGAATGGACCTTTCTCGAAGGCGCTTTCTAAGCTTGCACGTCGGAAATCCCACGGCGCCACGCCGAAACATCTTTGGGGGGGGGGGGGGGGGGGGGGTCTTACAATTGGAAAAGAAAAGCAAATTCGGAAACTGTCTGCAGCTAGGTACGACACCTCAGCAGAAGTCCACAGGGGAAGGAGAGTGGGAGGGGGTAAAAGACTAGAGCACAGAGAGGAAAGTGGAAGGAGAGAGTGAGCGAAGAGACCGAAAAGGCAGCGCTCGTGTCTTTTGTGTCCTTCTTGTCTCTGTGTCGTCGTTTTGTTCTCGCGCTATAACTATCGGCACAGATCCTCTACCAAAAACACGTGGCACTAATTCTCCAAATTCGCTGGCGCGCTTGCGAAGGAACGCGCAAGCGCCCACGCTGACGCCGCTCGGGGCGTTGCACAAAAAAGGTTCCTTCCTAGCATAGTACAGGGACCCAAGTAGGGGGGACTTGAGGGGGTGCTGACGCCCCCGAATTTTTTTCATGATTCCACTTTTCGGGTGATGCTAAAGTACTTTCACGCCTTCACATCGACCACCACCTGCCATATAGTTAGCCGTTACACAGCTAAATCACCCCCCCCCCCCAAAAAAAAAAAAGAAAAACTCCTGGGTGCGGTCCTGTTATACTACTATATATCATTGTTGCGGTGTTGCCACTCCGGAATTGGAATGGTCCCAAATTTATTCCACATTTTCACGACCCTTCAATGGAGTGGGGACAATGCTTGGATGCGTTGATTAGAAATTGAATTAAGCACCCATTACGTGCTGTTTCAAACTTCGTGCTTTTTTTCAAACTTCGGACATCAGTGAATCACAGCCTCGAATTTAACAGTGAAGCAACATTTTTAAAATGGGCTCGCAGACTACAAGCACGATACATTTATATTCAACGCGTCTACTTCTAGTTTGTTCTTTTATTCACTGTGTTCCTCCGAAGTTTGTCTCTATTTTTCGCACAACCGCGGTCGAGCCAAACTACGGTGGCAGCATGCCCCCTCACGCCGTGTGATTTTTTTTTTTTTTTTTTTTGCCCTCGGCGGCACCCCAGCTACAGACCCCAGCCATCTCTTGTCTTCACACCCTTCATGCCTTTGTGCTAGCTACTGTTTTTGTCGGCATACTCGGACACGTGTTCAAAAAAAAAAAAAAAACGCTCCTTTAAGTTGTGATGTGTATTAACGCTGGCGCCATGCTTTTGTTCAGTACAATCTCACCTCGTACTCTCCCTCACCCAACTTTTGTCAACATGAGCGCCTTCGCCCGAGACTCTGTCCACGTGTCATCGCAGCACACAGTGGTAGCGGTACTGGTTAGAAGAGGAGAAAGGCACCTAATTTCTGCAGCCCGGTCGGGAATACGGCGCAGTGCCACACAGTCGTACACGATGTGTGCACTGCCCCTCCGTTCAGATGGATAGAGAGAGTAAACTTATGAAAGCATCGGTTCCGGAAGCCGCTTGAATCGGGAAATCCCCCGTAACTACGGCCACAGCGGCGCCTCCCCGATTCCCGAAGAAAACCCACGCGTCGAAATCCACGTTCGCTCTATTCCAGCAAGGGGGGGGGGGGGGGGGGGGGGTTGCGGCGCTGCCGTTACCGCGCGTGTTGGCGGCTAGAGAAGCACTCCCATAATGCACTACCACACAGGCTGTTGCGTCCAGCAGTTCATGCTTGAGCAGATCATGTTTGTGAAGCACAATATATAATATCTCGCTTTTTTTTAGAACCAACCGTTCCAGGGCAGGAGCTGTCCAGTCACAATTATCACTTTTTTTAAAACCAACCGTTCCAGGACAGGAGCTGTCCAGTCACAATTCGGGTTTTAAAACTGCTGGTCATCCCATAGCTGGTCATCCAGCCCATCCAGTGCTCCGGAGTGGATTATTTCGTTGCTATCGTTATTTGCTATCGTTATTTGCTATCGTTATTTTTTTTAACCAACCATTCCAGGAGCCGTCCAGTCATAATTCGGGTTTTATAACTGCTGGTCATCACAGAGCTGCAAATCCCGCCCACCCAGTGCTCCGGAGTAGATTATTTCATTGCCATCGTTATTTGCTATCGTTATCTTTTTTTTGTAACTTCGCTGGGTTTTTACAACTCGAGACACATTTCTGTTCGCATCGCCAAGTAAAGAGGACATTGGGGAAGAGCGTATTTTGCTACACCCTTAATGGCTACTACTGTAATATGCTTAAACTAGTCATGTAAGCCTGAGTACATGCTCTATCGAAGTCGAAAGCCACAACGCATTCTCGAGGTGCACCTACAATTAGTCAAAGCGTGATAGGCGTGATGTAAAAGTGTGAACAATCTACCAATTTGTAAAAGATAAACCACGGCATAAGTTGGCATACAAAGAAATGCATTATCCTAACAGCCTACTTGAAAGGAGAAACAAATTATTCTTGCACGTAAGCTCTCATTAATAACCCTCGCGAAAGGGGCGAATACACTAGACACTTTATCTCACGAGCACTGTAGTAGTTGACACACGCAAATAGCCTTTGCGACAAGAAAGACATTGCATACGTGCACACAGGCGAACACGAAGTTCTCCTCACCCATCCATGCTTACGAGGCGCGCTTGACAAACTTAAGTGATGATGAGCAGAAGTGCGGCCTTGTGTTATGCATTGGATGCAAAGGCGCAACAGGCCCGAGTGGTGATGCACTTTTGGCGCCTTCATCCTCATCAATCATCATCATCCTTTCTTAGTCTCAGTGCTCGTGCAGCTCGTCCTCGGAGTTCAAGTCGCGCATTAGAGATTAGAACCGAGTCCTCGTGCTACGGACGCAGGAAGTCGCCACCGCTCTGCTTTGGCCCCGAAGAATAAAGTGGCGAGATTCATCACGTCTCTCTGCTTCTCGCTATACACTCTTAACCAGCAGGTCTAGAACGTTTTGTTCACCATTAAGTAAATTTTGGTTTTCTTCATATTCGGGACCACTCAAAACGCGGGGCAAAACTTTTCAGTCTTATTGAAGACTGCTTTTTTCAACATGAGGATATACCTTATGTCATCAGTTTAGCATTAAGAAATTTAAGCTTCAACAATTGAAATATCACAATTCATTCAAACATGCTGACCATGCAAATATACTATATGTTCCGGGAGGACTGCTGCTATGGGAATTAGTAGGGTGGTTTTACTGCCCGAGATTAAGCTTCAACAATTTAAATATCACAATTCATTCAAACATGATGACCACGCAAATATACTATATGTTTTGGGAGGACTGCTCCTATGGGACTTAGTGGGGTGGTTTTACTGCCCGAGAGATTCTACCAAGCTACTAATTCTCGACCTTGGTAACGTGTTTTGCGTACTTTTGC